GACCCATCCTCTCCTGAGTGGACTTAAAGCTGCAGTATGTCACTTTTATATAAATGTTTTTTTCACATATTTTTTAAAACTGTCATTATGTTGTGACAGTATGATACGAGAGGTAATCTGTGAAAAATCTATTTCCTCTGCTTTCTCCCAGGGTTCTCTAGAAACAACCAGTCAGTGGCAGGAGAGTTTTAGTGCTGTCAATCACAGTCTCACGTGGCTGCTCATCCTATTCTGCAGTTAGCATAGCTTGTTGTAAATGCTCAGTCTAGTTAGCATAGCTACCAATGACGGCAGATAAATGGTTTTCCTGTAACGACAAGTTGTTTCTCCACCATTAGCACATTTAGCAGTGAAAGAATTAGGTTGATTGACAGCACTAAGACCCTCCTCCTGGTTCTGATTGGTTGTTTTGGCCGGAACATTGCATTACTTTATCCAGCAATAGTAGTTCAGGGAGGAGGTGAAGAAGATAGATCTTTTCACAGATTATTTGTCTCATAGCAAACTGTCACAACATGATGACAGCTTTATCAAATATGCAAAAAGCTGCCTTTTGTACAGTTATGTACTGCAGCTTGAATAAAATGCAAAAACATAGCTTTTGAGAAGTCTGGATTGTTTTATATATATTTAGCATGTTGCCTATGACTGTTGCTCCTGGGGAGAGACATTTCAGTAAGCTAAAGCTAAAAATAAAAAAAAATTAGGCAACCTATTTACATACAGTATGCGGACTGTTGCATTTAAAATTCACTAGCAGTAAATATTGTGCTAGTCTCAGTATTGGACCAAAGAAAGCAAGTTGCCAGCCTTTGAAATTGCGACGCTTTTGATGGTTCAAATATACTCAAAAAATTGTAACAGCAGTTGCGCCGGGGGGGCCTCTGGTTAACGATAAAGCACAGGAAATAGTGGGTTCGTTTTTTTTTTTTTTGTTTGTTTTGTTTTTTACAATATTTCAAAGTAAAGCCACACTAACAGCACTGTTGTAATAGCTGCCGTAGCTTCTACTCACATGCGGCACCGACTACAAAAAATTACAGGTCCTGACAGAGTGACAGGCTGATTGCTAAACCACATTGTTTGATTTTTTTCGGGAGACGACTAAAAAGCCAGTTCTGATTATAGCTTGCTAGGGCGAAGTGGTGCTTTGATGTGGGCAACTTTGCTCAGGGCAACCGTGGGATCTGTATTGAGACAACTGATCCCTGGTCGTTTGCAAAGTAAAAAAGAAAGTCCAAATTGCCCTAAAGTGCTGTCTTTATTTGATCAGAAGATAAGATGCAGCTATGCTCAATAATTAACACACAGGCAGCCTTTTAATAGTCTATACATTAAAGAATCACAGACTTGGCCTTAAAGTTCTGGGTATCATGGATGGCACAATGCTAGAATCCATTACTCTGCCACGCTGGGCAGAGTAATGGATTTTTAATGGGCATCTTATCCTCCCATGGTGCACTCTCCAGCCCAGGAGGAATCCAGTGAGCGATGCTTTTTGGCTGCCGTTAAACTGACCAAAGTGGAGGGGGAAAGAAATCAAAAACCATTATCGATATTAAGGAGCAAGCAATCTCTGCCTACATGAGACAGATGACGCGCTCTTCTTCATGCCGTTATGTCTGCCGCGAGTTGTTCTGTCAGGTTGGCACACACACATCCGTCCTGTGTTGCTGAGGTGGACGGTTTTCCTGTGTGCTGCATCCATTGAATCTAACACACACACACACACACGCTGCGTGTAATAAAACAAAGTTGGAACATTTCAACTCAATGCAAAACGTAACACTTTACCAAATTTCCGTTTTGTACAGCATTTACAAAGACGCTATTTCATCAACCACACTTCCTGCTAAAGATGATTTACATAACATGAACTCACACTGAAACGTTTTGTCCAATCCAGCCTTAAATATAAACAGCTTATTATTATTTTTTTTTTTACAAAATCACCAGTGGCCCAGTATCAGCAACAATCACTTGAAAACAAAAGATGCTTTTTCTTTATTTAAAGGGGAGGTATTATCTGTTTTCCAGCCACATAGTGTCATTTTAAAGCACTGTTAAGTAATTATGTCACTTTCAGTTGTTACAAAAATACTGCATACATCAAATGTACATCAAAGAAATGTGACTTTGCAATTTAGCGCATTTGTCTCTTTAAGAAGCTCCTGCTCTTCCCAAAACTCTGCTTTTAAGCAGGCCAACACAACAACGTTCCTCTTTCAAGCATTCACAAACTTTCGCGGAAGAGGTGGACTGAGAAACAGTTCATATAACAAGCCCAGCAGATATGCTCTTCCACCAGGTGTTTGCTTAATAGTTGTTTGTGGCTAGTCTGGAGGAGCTGAGGCAATGGTCAATTAAAATTTGTTGGATTGGATTTCTCTACAACTTCCAGGATTATTTTATAATTCTGCAATAAAAGATTATTTTGTTTTGAGGCATTTTAAAACATCTAAACCAGTACTGCATTCACCACCCTTGTTTTGTAGCAAATATTGTTTGAAACCACAATTTAAAAAAAGAGTCATATTTTGTCTGAAGTTCCATGATGACTCATGAATAAAACCCATTTTCTTGACATTTTATGTTAATCTGCTCTTTATTGTTCAGTGTGCCTTGTGTGAAACAGAGCACTGATGCATGCAGGGACTTTCTGTGCGTGTTTTGTGTTTTCGCCCACAGTAAACGTCTGTTTCCGAGAAAAACAAGAGATCGACTTTTGTGTTCCGGCATGTACGAATAGACGCTTTCACAGAGTTTCTGTTGGCTGAAGTCAGAAGTTGTTATGGCAGACATCTGACACGGGAGAAAAACCATTTTTAATCATAAAAAAAAGCAATCTGTGACTTACAAATGGCAGAAATATTCATTTAACACATGTGATGATGACATTGATCCATGAATGATTTGCTGTGGGCTTTAAAGACCTGCAGCCTCAGCCACACAGAGACCATTTCTGTCATTGAGATGCTGAAAAAATCAACTAACATCAGAAAAACGTAACATTGCTTTATGAATATGTACTATTTAAAACAAATGCGTGTAACTTGCACATTCAACATTTCTGCTGTGTTTTAATTGAATCAGTGGTTCCTGCAGACATACAATGACACAAAAACTGAGTTCAAACTCGTTGGGTTTGATTCCGCATCGGATCTAGGCATGGCTCAGTACGACTTTCTCTGTGACAACCTAGAATTAAAACAGTCTCATGAAATGTCACACCTGAATTCAAAATCAGTTTATAACATCATCCAAGTGCCAGGTGGATGGATGTCTGTCCTTTAGCTTTCAACCTACGACCGTTTGTGTTTGTGGTTACCAGAAATGTTTACCAGATGCAAAAAAGTCTTATTGTAAGCGAGGGAAATGTGCTGTAGTCTTCTTTCAGCAAGGCGACTGGCATTGTGAAGCAATAGGTGGGGGAGGGGAATGGGACACTGCAGCAGTATCAAGTTACCAGCACTTTCTCTGATACTTTATTATAAAACTTTCAGATCCATAAGGTAATAGGAACCAAGTGATGTGAAGTACAGATGTCATACAGATAACCAGCCCATGCCTAACTGGAGACAATGCACATCTTCACTCTTTTCATTTGAATATTTGCATAAAATATGGCTTATGTACAGTAAAAATCTACAAAATACTTCTGAACGTAAAACAACGTGTTGCCAAGTGGCTCCACTTATTCTAAATTTGTGCTGAATTTGAATGGAGACTTCTTCGCCCTTTATATGTTGGCAATCAGCATCAGTAGTATGTGCAATGCTAGCAATAAGCGTCCGACCTTTATTTTCCATCGGTGCCGACTGAAGACATGCAGCAAGTGAACGGCGCGGTTTCATTACTTTGGCTGGGTGTTAACATGATAATTGCTAAAATCTGGAAACTAATTTTGTTCATCCGGCAAACAAATTGAGAAATCAAAGGTCTTTTCACTGAAATGTGTAAGGCACTCTGGACTAAATGCCTGAGAACAACAGAACCTTCAACAATCAAACACTAAATAATCCCTGCCATGCCTGCAACTCCTCACTGGTACGCAACTGACAGACACAAATCTATTAACGTTTAAAACAAAAAAAACAACCAACAACAAAAACCCACTTAAAAGCACAATGTCGATAATCTATTTACAAAATCCATTTTCCAAATTCCCCGGAATCTAAATTTCTCTCTGTTTTCCCTAATCACTTACCCCTGAAAAGTAAAGTGCAAATTTCTTAACAGAAAAATCAGAAGGTTTCTTCCTCCCTCCCTACTTTTCCTCTCTGTACCGACTTAAACCCAACGAAGCGTCACGATCGCCCCAGCCTGGGTCTGAGCGTCACTGACTGACGGCACCGAAAGCAGTTTCCTTCTGCTTTACCTTTTATCAACCACTTGAAGGGCAAAACAATATTTACAACCTCAAACTTTATATGTACAGAAGTGAACAAAGGCTCCCCCCCCCCAGTTTAAAAAAAAGAAAAGAAAAAAAAAATCACACACCAAACACAGATCACTTTCCAAAGGGATTCCTCCTGGCTGATTCATCGTTAAGCTTCCATTTAAATTAGGTCCGTGTCAGCTAAGCGTCCAGATAATCTGGGTAAGTAAAAGCAATCCAGACATACACTTACTGCTACCCATGTGTATTTCTGTTTGGTGGTAATTAAGAAGATCCGGTTCAACAACCACAGCATTACTGTCCTGGTTTCAAGATTTGAAAAGACTTTGGTTGGGCCTCCACACCCCTTCAGTAGGTGTACATGGACAGGGGCGTTTCCTCCATCATGTCGTCCTACGGAACAAAGAAATAATAATAATCACATTACTGGACAGATTGGTTACTGATATGACCTGAGAATACCCAGCTCATAAACTGACATAAAGAGAGGAAAAAAGGTGATATAGTGGGAATTTAAACTGTTTGAGACTCTGGGAATCCTTGTAACAGTGGAGCTATGCCTCGGGGGGGGGGAGGAAACGTTTAAGAGAGTATTGCCTGGATACACAGTGCCTTTTTCCACCAATAAAAATGTAAATAGTGTGGCTTTCAAATGCATTCTTCCTCCTAAACTCGGACACTCCAAAATAGCATACGGTGCAAACACAGCAAACGTAGAGGGCACTTGTCAGAGTCAATGTGAGGAGAGTTGGTGTTAGCATGCCAAACAGTATTAGCTAATGAGCTATTAGACATGGTCTGCAAATTACCAAATACAACCATGCGATTATGTTTTAATCTGGTGGCTAAATAGTGTAAGCATATTAGCTAATGATAGAATAATAGCCGCTGTTAGTATAGCATACAATCTTAGCTTAAATGCTATTTGCAGCCTGTTTGCTAATACTGTAGCTAGTGGCAGCATAGTTTTTGATTTGAGTAGCAGATAATATTTAGTCTTGATTTCAACATGCTAATGCTAACATGTTTGCTGTTATTAGCATTTTCTGAATAAAAGTCTGACGTTTCATGGTTTAAATAAAAGAAAAAAGGGTTATAAATTCCTTTTATGTTTAAAACAATCAAGCAAATAAAATAAAGTTATTTTGTTACACTGTATGCCTCAAGTGTCAGGACACATTGACATTTCTTTGGGAATTTCCCTTCTTACTTTCATATTTGTGCACCACTGCCAGCTCGTTTCACTTGAAAGCCCCTTAAAAATATATTTAAATGTTGTGGTTTTTTAATACTTCTGTAAGGCGTTGCGTGAATATAAAACTTAAAAATGGCAACCACATTAGGAAGTGGAACAGTTTGGGACAGTAGGGGTGAATCAGGAGGCCCACCATATTTTTGTGTGAAATATCTGAGCTTGAAAACATCTGACAGACTCAGTGTTGCCTAAATGCAGGCTGCCGATTTACCATTGGTAGGTCCTGCAGCCGGTGAAACCGTGGCCCGCTTTGTCTTCGGCGGAACTTGAGGAAGAGCAGCAGTGTGATGACGATGGCAGTGATGACGAACGCCGACACCAAGCCAACCAGAAGGGGGTCCAGTCCGGGAGAGTCATGAGAATCTGTCGGAGGGAGAAAATCAGTAAGGCACCATTTCTCTGTTTAATGCAATCGCATCGTCCGCCATGGCAGATTAATGTTTGCTTTCAGCTAACATGGTACAAATGTAAATGCCAGTTATTTGTTTTAATCTGTGATTGTAGCTAAATGCAGGCACTGTTTTAGCACTCAGAGTGCTTATTATGCATCTTTAGGCAGAAAAGTCAAACACGATGGGATGCTAAATTACACAGGCAAAATTTCCTAAAAATATTTTTGAAAACTATTATTTCCATTCCACTTCACTACAATATAACACTTTCTGTTGATTTATTTTTATTACATGAAACCCTAAAAACAGATTAGTGTTTCTGTTCTCCAATGTGATTAAACGTGAAAATGAATAAACAAATAATGAATATTCATCAGAAATTAAATAAACCTATGATTAAAATGTGGTTAAACAAAGTTCTCTCATTGATCTGGAAAGCATCTCAACATTTCTGTCCTGCTGTTTCCTAAAAGGATGTCGCCATGGAGCAATGTTTAATACACCTACAAGTTTTGTTTGACATACTCTGGTTAAACTAACAGTAACCACAAGGACCTGTTCCTCTGTTTAATGGAAAATGACAAAATCCCAAAGGCCTAATGAAACCGCACAGCGAGAAGAACAAGGCGAGAACTCTGACTGGAATAGATGCTCAACGGACGAGAAGCATTTCTTTTACTTCAATACCTATGGCCTAGATTAAATCCCCTACTGAAAGACAAAAGATGTCCAAACTGAGTATTCATATATCTGCAGCTGTAGATATACAAATCATCTGAAAGGCAGACAGTAGCAGGAAGATATACAAGACAGACAACTGAATGGTCAAAGCCTGGGTCTCGTGACGCCTCAGTCCCTTTCTCAAACAAACACATAATCATGTAGTGCTTGGTAGTGACGGCGCCTGAACAGGACGTCAACGGGACGTTTGTGTTTGTGAGTGAGGAGAGACGGGCTGGTGTGCGTTGGAAAACAAAGAACAATGCCACTTTTGTCGCTTCAATTCACTCTGGGCTTCATCCAGGACAAAAGCTGGACACTTATTTTGTACTTACTGCTGCCCTGCATGGTGAGCTGTGATGAACTCCCTGAATGGGTGGAGGTGATGTTCAGCGGAGCCGTGGTGGTGACAGGGGAGGGTTTAGTTGTTGCATAGCTGGACTGTTTAGTATTTGTGGACGGCTGAGAAATGGTGATGCCTCGAGACGACGTGGCGTTGGGCGCCGTGGCATTGGACGCCGTGGCGTTGGGCGCCGTGGCATTGGGGGACGTGGCGTTGGGGGACGTGGCATTGGGGGACGTGGCGTTGGGCGCTGTGGCGTTGGGCGATGTGGCGTTGGGCGCTGTGGCGTTGGGCGATGTGGCGTTGGGCGCCGTGGCGTTGGGCGCTGTGGAGTTGGGCGACGTGGCATTGGGCGCCGCTGGCGTCATCGTGGCGATAGGCGTTGAGACGGGAGTGGGGGAGGAGGTTTTATTTTGATCGGAGCTGGTCGAAGGCGCAGAAGAGGGTGGAGCATCATGTAAAGCTGTGCTGTGATTCGATGATGATTGATTCGTATGTGGCGCGGATGCGGAGAAAGTTCCGGTCATGTTGGTTTTGTTGGTTCCAGGTTCAGTGGAAAGGTTGGAAGCAGCAGGGGCCACTGATGGCAGCTGAGTCACTGAGTTTCCACTCTTGGTCGGTTCAGGTTTCTGCACAGTCGTTGCGTTAGCAGCTGCAGAAAGAAAAAAAATTGTTGTCAATTAAGTACAGTTGTTTTCCTGCCAAGTTTCTTAATGGAGAGTTTGTGGCAAAAATAATAAATATCTTATTATTTTTTCATTTTCAGCTTAAGTAACAGAATGTATTTCATCTGCGAGATACTGTATCTATTTAGTTCTTTCCTCGCAAGCAAGAAAGATAGGAGGAAATCAATGAGGCAAAGAAAGCTCAACAATATCTCAATTCAACACAATCGATTGTCTCAACTATAACAGGCCATTGACATCACTATTTTTTGCGGACAAATACCCTTTATAAGTGAGATTTTAAAATTGCTTAAAGTTACTGTTTTACTGGAAATTGCCGTCAGTGGCTCCTGCATGCGTCAGTCGTCACGATGTCCCGTTGCCTTAATTTGTTGTTGATTCCTTTAGCACTTTATTTGTTGAAGCATAAAAATGATGGCTTTCATAAAGGTTAAATTAAAATTTCTTGTAAAAGTTAGAACTCAGTGTTAAAAAGTCGAGAAGCTTAAGTTAAGAAAATACAAACAAATGTCAGCAGTAATGTCATTTCTGATTTTGGAAGTTGGGAACCGACTTAATACCTTACCCTTTTTGTTTTTTATGTGCTCTATAGTGTCACAGACATCAATTGTGTGCTACATTTTCCACTGAAGAAGTGTTGATGGAAATGCTTGTATGCAACGGCGGTTGAATAATGCCGCATCTGTTTAAATAAATAATTGAATATTTTTCTTCAGTGGGTAGAGACGATGGACGGATGAAAATGGAATATCAAAATTAAAAAGGCAAATATGACTGCAGCTTCAATCATCTTATTAAGTATTGTGCAGATAGTAGGTGGCTGCCTGGTAGTGAAAACATCTGAAGTGTGAACCAACGTGAGTGTGTGAAAGACAGACGGAGGATAAGTGTGTGAATCCGTGGTGGGGGAAGGATCTCACTTCTACCTTTCTCACCCTCATGCGAAAAGTCTCACAGCATTTAATCACTTCTCTCTTCTCCCCCAGCAACACCTGAATCGCATCCTAACTAACTTTTACGACGTTGTCCACCGCTGTGATTCTCCAGACAACCTCCAGGCGTGGCTTCTGTCTCTCGGTCCAGCGTTCTGACCTTCTCTTTCCTCTACTTTTTAGGCAGCAAACTCTTTGCGACTGCAGGTGTTGCGTTTGTGTCACGTCTGGTAGCATTGTAACCTTTTCACAAGCGCCGCGACCCACTTCTGGACATGGAAAAACTGAGATAAGAACCATGCTAAAGATAGCCTCTCAACTCTGAAGCAGCTGCTCGTTTCCTGCTCCTTTAAAGTTCGTTAGGACTTCCGCGCTGATAAACTTTAAAGAGACAAAGACAATAGCCTCAAAATCTCGACTGGCACTGTATCAAAACAAATATGGATAGCGTATGGGTGCAAAATTCTTCCTTTTATGTGAGTTTAATGAACACAGAAGTGTTGCGGCTACAGTCCAGTTGAGCTGCTGCTAACACTGGCGTCGCTAGAAATCGAGCCAGTAGTTCATCCAAAATGGACGGAGACAAATAAGTCTTTTTTTTTTCTTGCCTAGCTAGTGCAAATCTGAAGTAACATACTAAGTTATGTGCACATTTCTGAGCCAGTGCGTGATGGAAAACAAAATGTCTGACGACCCAACCTTTCATTTTAAAGCCTTCCCCTGCAGATATAGATTCCCACTCATTCTGCTTTCTTTTTTAACAATTATAACAGGAGATATAAGAAGGCTGTTGGTCATTTTGCCTCTTTGCCGTCTTGTACTTTTGTAGTTTTGGGTCGTTTCATACCCAACCTTTCTGGGTACAAATAGGAGCCGTCTGTCGGTGGGGACGTTTCGACCTGACCTCTGCCAATAGCAGCTAGCAGAACAATTCTTATCAGTTTTGACAAAGTAATTTTTACATTCTCTACTCATGATGCACTAAAGAACATGAATAAGTCATTCAAGCAAATAATATCTATGAGGTTGTTCAGTTATTTTGTTTTAGTAAAGTGTTATAATCCCTTGTATTTTATGAGTTGTTTGGGCTAATACACGAAGAAAAGAATCAAAACTAAACCAAACTGGGTGCAATATAATCATGTTTTCGAAAATGATCAATTCTACGAGTTTTGAGTATTTTTGTGGTTTTATATACTGAGAATTCATTTAAATAATTAAGGGAAATAAACACACGAGATGGTTCATTTACACACATAAAACGGCAGTAGGAAGGGGACAACAACTGTGAAGCTATTGATTTACTATTGCTATTATTGGCATTTTAAAGACAAAATAATTATGATTTTCAGTCATGACTTTTATTCCCCACAGACCTACTTTACCTCTGACATTTCCATAAAGCTGCCAGTGTTTACAGAGCCACGTCAATCCATCAAACAGAGGTGGAAAGTTAAAAAGGAGAACCTTTGCTGCTCAGCCTTCCTGTTATCTGTTTTAGCTCTAGTTCACAGCAGCCAACAAGCTAGAAGAAGGAGTCATCCCTGAATGTGTTGTGGAAAATACCTCATCCTTTCAATCAACTTTGCACATCTCTATGCTTCCAATGGCTTTTTGTTAAACACTTCAATTATACTAAGAATTCACTTAGTAACAGCATAAACGCCAAAAAGAGCAGCCACCATGACCTGGAGGAGCTACAAGAGCTGTGGCTTATGACTTTTCTTTTTTTTACTTTTCTTTAAAAAAACATTTTTGTAGTTGTGCGGTTGTTCTCATTTTACATCCAAATTACTGAAGGCATTTTCAGAAATATCCAACCAGACTTTCAGAGAAAGGAACAACTTAAAGAGTACATGTGGAAACCTTTTCATTTAGCCCGAGGCGTTTCTTCATTTAAAGATGTTGCATCATAACTTGGGCTGTGTCTCGCTACTTTCTTTTCAGATAACTCCTTATCTTCCAAAACAAGCATGCCTTGCAGGAGATCTTCTTTAAGCTAGGTGCCAAGTCTTTGTCCATTTCCAAGAACAATTTCTACCCGAGCTTTAACTTCCAGAAAAATGTATTGAGGTGTTGCTTCAATATTTCCACACCAGGTTTTATTTGTTTGTTTGTTTTTTTCCCATGATGCCATCTATCTTGTGAAACACAGCAGCCCTGGAGCAAAACCCCAAATGACATCATGCTCCTCCCTCTGTACTCCACAGAGGGAGAAAGCATTTTAAAAAACTGTAATCTGCTTTTTTTTTCTGGATTATTTCTTGCTGAGTGGCCTTTCTCCCCAAGTTGGTGCAGGACTAATTTCGCTATGGATTATTAATTCATCGCCAGATGTCCTGGAAGGCATGATTCCTGTTTAGACTTGTGTACAGGTGCTATAACAAAGAAAGTAAATGATACCCAAAGATAAACCAAGACTTTTGGAGGTCAACCGTTCTCTCTTTCTGACATCTTGTTTATCTTTTGATTTTTTTTCAACAAGTCGTTACCTTGAAATACATTCACAGGTTTGTCTCCTGTTATTTCAGATACTCTGTGCCATGTGTCTGGAAACCATAACCTGGCCTGGGCTTTCAGAATCAGCTAAAGACAAAGTGGTCCTAAATGTTCTTTACTCTGACCTAAAACAGGAAAATATGTGTCCGATTTAATGTCAGAACCTGGGAGTATAATTATGTGTCTGTTTATAGAGTGAATGTAAATATCTGATTTTTCTGTGTACATACTTGTTTGGTAATATTCACAGTTTTCCACATTTTCTTGTGTTAATGCCTTATTCCAAACTGTATTGAATTATGTGTGAAATTCTGCACACAAATTCCCCATTGTGAAAATGTCGACTGTTGATTTTTTTTCTGAGTATTTTGCAAACTTTTTAAAAATAGCAAACCAAGAAATCACATTAACGAAAGCATTCACAGCCTCTGATTAATTCTTTGTTGTTCAACCTTGGGCAGCAATTACAGCCTTGCGTCTTTGAACGCAACACCACTGGCTCAGTTCGGCTATCTTCAGCCAGGATTTTGAGGAAAGTGATTAATTTATTACAATTTGGAATAACCAAATGTGGAAAAAAGGAAGCAGTGAATCATTTCCGGGCGTACTGCAGCTACAGTCTAATGTTTCATGTCACTGTATTCAAGGCTCCCTGCTGCTGCTGCCGCCAATAAGTAGTGTTTAGTAACTGAAGCACACTTATATCCTTTTAATGATGACCTTCGTGTCCCCTGTTTGCCCCATCTTTAACGTCTTCATCGCTATATACCCAAAGATCCATCTCTGTTCCTCCCTTTGATGCAAACCAGAGCGCTAATGTAATGTGGAGTCATTACCGTTCACTAACACACTACCCTGATGCCTTTCATTACCTCCACAATCATTCACACAGAACTCACTGGCAGAGAGAAAGAGAGGGTCTATTTGAACTCTGGATGATACCAGAACTGATACACTCATAAATAGACAGAGGTGGTTGCCTGGATAATGCAGCCCTTGTTCGCCTAAAGCTGCTTCGGTCAAACGCTGGACTAGGAGTCTGGCTTTATATATATATATATATATATATATATATATGTTTATGTCTCTGTGTGTGTGAACAGGAGGTGTATGAAGAGACTCGCTGTTCTCCAGTTAAGCTCTTCCATCTCTTAAGATATTAGAGCGTCTTACTCATGCACTCTCGGAGCAATGCAGCATGTGCCTGGGGAAATGTATTTCCCTCACTGCCTGCCAGTAAAACATACTCAGCGATCACTGCTGGGAAGAGGCTCCGTGCAAATTTACAGAGAAGACACGGGCAGGCCAAATACTGATATCAAGTTATAACAAGAACTTGTGTAGCTGTTGGCTCAAATGTTTCTACAACTTGTGTCACACGTAAAATGCATCGAATCATCAGATAAAGACATTCTGAGGAAGTACAGATGGCTTTGTATCTCCTTCATGTCATTGATAAAAAGAGAAAAGTGAAACTCTTTAACTCTTTGCCAACCTACACTTATGGGACAAAGTAACTGCTCATCAATAGTCAT